TTTCTGTGTTAGAGGCTGAGTGTTTGGAAGATTCTGATAAAGTTATGGTCAAGTTGTATGTGTTGAAAATCCGCCTCCTTCAGTCCCTTCCTTCACATAGAAGCCAGAGTCTTGTGAGACATTCTGTCTCACTCTATTGTTGTTTGTTTAACATCAATTTCACAGGATATTAGAAGGGGAAGATTCACAAACCAACCATCACAACATGATCTGATGGAGTTTTATCACAAATGGAACGTGATCCGATTTTGAACATGGAAGGAAACAGCCCTGGATAGAAACCGTACACGTGGATTTGTGTGGACAAGGCTTCAGCCGATCATCAGGCTTCACAAACCACAAATGCAGTCACACTGGGGAGAAACTGTGAAAATGTGGCGATTGTGAGGAGGAATTCATTTCCTCACCAGAGCTGGAAACTCATTGACACAGTTACACCAGTAACAAGCCATTCACCTGCTCAGTGCGTGGGAAAGGATTCATTCAGTTATTTAACCTGCTGCAACACCAGCTCATTCACACTGAGGAGAGATCTTTTCAATGCCTGGACTGCGGAAAGTGCTGTAAAATTTCCGGGACTGCTATGCCATCAATGTGTTCATACAGCAGACAGACCTTTTAAATGCCCAGACTGTTAAAAATACTGTGAAAAAAACTCAGAGTTCACACATCTCAACAACGATTGGAGTTTGCAGTTCATCACATTCAGGACTGAAGGTAAAGTTTTAATAATTTGGATTGAACTCACATCAAACGGCTTTATGTCAAAAAAAAAGTTTGGCAGGACATTGTAAGGATGTGATCACGGAGTACTTGGTAGAGTCGGCACGGCTTTTTCAAGGGGAAGTCATACCTGACAAATCATAGAATTCTTTGAGGAGGTACTGAGCAAGTTAGGTAAAGGAGAGCGAGCGACTTCCACATGACATTTGACAAGGTGCCACATGAGAAGCTGCTAAATAAGATAAGAGCCCATGATTTCGGGACCAAGGTACTGACAAATCTTGAGGATTGAGTGACTGGCAGGGCTCTTTTTCAGATGGCAGCCAGTGACCAGTGGCAATCAGCAGGGGTCAGTGTTCGGACCACAATTATTCACATAATTCATGAACAATCTGGACAAAGGAATGGAGGGCATTGTTGCTAGGTTTGCAGAGGACACAATGATAGGTCATATTCAGGAAGCAGGATAATTGCAGAATGACTTGCACAAGCTAGGAGAGTGGACAAAGAAGTGGCAGGAGGAATACAATGAGGGAAAATGTGAGGTTATACATTTTGGTCAGAAAGCTAGAGGCATAGACTATATTCGAAATGGGGAAAGGCTTCAGAAATCTGAATCACAAAGAGACTTGAGAGTTCTAGTTCAGGGTTCTGTTTGGGTTAAAGTGCAGGTTCTGTTGGTGGTTAGGAAGGCAAATGCAATGTCGGCATTCATTTCAAGAGAGCTGGAAAACAGGAGCAGAGATGTACTGTTGAGTCTAAACAAGGCTCTGGTCATATTGCATTTGGAATTTTTGAGCCGTTTTAGGCCCAGTATCTAAGAAAAGACATGCTGGTGTTGGAGGGTGTCCAAACGTGGTCTACAAGAATAATCACATGGATGAAGGACTTGTCATAAGAGGAATGGTTGAGGACTATTTGTTCTTGATAGAGTTTAGAAGAATAGGGTGGGGGATGGGAATCTGCTTGAAACTTACAGAATACTGAGGGACATGGATCGAGCAGACATGGAGAAGATGTTGACATGAGAGGAGAGACCAGGACGTGGGGGCACCGCTTCAGAGTGAAGGAATGACACTTTAGAACTGAGAGAAGGAGGAATTTCTTCAGGCAGAGAGTGGTGAATTTGCGGAGTTAATTGACACAGAGAGCTGTGCAGGCCAAGTCATTAAGCGTATTTCAGACAGCAGTGGATGCTTTCTTGATTATTGAGGGGATGAAGGGTTATGGGGAGAAGGCAGGAGAATGGTTTTAAGTAACATATCAGCCATGATAGAATGGCAGAGCAAATTTGATGGACTGAATGGTCTAATTCTGTTCCTATATCTTATGGTCTTTTGGTCATAGTTCAAATCAAATTTGGCCCCTTTTGCAGTGCGTTGCATCTCCCCTGCGGTAGTAGTTGCCGTAGTCCCAGGGAACCATACAGCTGTGCTCACACAGGAGAAAGAGAAAGAGAGATGACTGGTGATGAGTTTAACCTGAGAGAGCTCCTGTTCATGAGACCCAACTCCTAGTCCCTCTGCCATGTTCCCACTAAACTGCTGACCATTCACCTCTCCCCGTGCGATGGATATTATTAACAATTCTCTGTCTCTCTCTTCTGGTTCTGTCCCTCTCACTGATAATTCTACCATCATCAACCTTCTTGAGAAAGGTTGACTCTTCATCCTGCCATCTTTGCAAACTCCAACCTCCCTTTCAGAGATGATTAAGAGTTGGGAACCAAGTGTAATGTGTCAAAGTTCGCAGATGACACCAAGCTGAGTGGTAGAGCAAATTGTGCAGAGGACACTGAATGTCTACAGAGCGATATACACAGGTTAAGAGAGTGGATATGGGTCTGGCAGATGGAGTACAATGTTGAGGTTATCCATTTTGGGAGGAATAACAGCAAAATGGACTATAATTTAAATTATAAAACATTGCTGCTGCGCAGAGGGACCTGGATGTCCTTATGCATGAAACAAAAAAAATTGGTTTGCAGATGCAGCAGGTAATTAAGAAGGCAAATGGAATACTGACCTTCATTGGTTAAAGAATGGAGTTTAAAAATAGGGAGGTTATGCTGCAGCTGCACACGGTACCGTTGAGGCCACACCTAGAGTACTGTGTACAGTTTTGGTTTTCTGACTTGAGAAAGGATATACTGGCACTGGAGGGCGTACAGAGGAGGTTCACTGGGCTGATTCTAGAATTGAGATGGCTGATGAGGAGAGATTGAGTAGACTGAGACTTATACTCATTGAAATTTAGAAAAATGACAGGGGAGTTTATAAAATTATGAAGGGAAGAGATAAGATAGAAACAGGGATGTTGGGTGGGTGGAACTAGAACTAGGGGCTATTGCCTCAAATAAAGGGGAGCAGATTTAGGACTGAGTTGAGAAGGAACTTCTTCTCCCAAAGGATTGTGTATTTGTGTAATTCCTTGCCCAGTGAAGCATTTGAGGCTACCTCACTGAATGATTTTAAGGCAAAGATTTTTGAACAATAAAGGAAATGAAGGTTATGGTGAGTGGGTAGTTAAGTGGAGCTGAATCCATGAAAAGATCAACCATGATCTTATTGAATGGCAGAGCAGGCTTGACGGACCAGATGGCCTACTCCTGCTCCTATTTCTTATGTTCCTCTCAAAATTCCCTGAACTTGGTTGTCCCTCAAGGATCTATCCTTGGCTCCGCTCATACATCTTTTATTATAATAGACTCTAAGATTTATCCAATAACATATGTTAAGCTAACTGGTCTACAGTTAAGTTTTTTTCCCCACATGAAGGTACTAAACTGACGGTTTTCTAATCCTCTGACTCGTCTAAACTCTAAAGGTTATTGTAAGATGACTACCAGTGTATCCATGATTTCTGCAGCTAGTTCCTTTCATATCCTAGGATGCAGCCTAACAGATCTAGGGGCTTAATTGTTCTTTAGCTCCATCAGTTTTCCCAACACTTCATCTCCACTGGTAATCATTACACTTATTTCTTTTCCGTGTTTACTTTGCCTTTTGGCTATGAAACAATTTTGAAATGCTATAGGTGACTTCTACTGTAAAGACTGGTGTAAAATATTTATTCAACTCTTCTGCCATTTCCAGGTTCCCCATTATTATTTTCCCAGTTCATTCTCTCAAGGATCTGTGCTCACTAGATTTAGACAAATAGCCTTTTCTTTTTAATCAGTAGAGAAATTAAGGGTTGTAGGAAACGGCAGCACAGTGGAGTTGAGGGTGATCATATCTGCCATGATCTCATTAAATGGTGGAGCATATTCAGTGGGCCAAATGGCCTACTCCTGCTCCAACACCTTCTGGATGGCAGTGTTTTTAATGCATGGTGGAAGCGCCTACAATTGGAAGAAAGCTGCTTCATCTAATACGGAATACATGTTCTCCTAATAGATATTATCAGGCATGAGAAATAATTTGAACTCACTCAATTCCCTTTATTGTGGAATGTTTTGTGTCATTTGCATATCAAACTCAAAGCAACGTGACAATTTTCCATACAAGTGCGTGTTGCTCCATCACAGAGTGAATGTGACCCAAAGCGCGGCTTTTCCTGAATTTGGTACGGACAGAAGTATATCTGGGGGATTAAAACATTGCCTTCTGGGAGAGATGGCGTGGAAACAATTCATTCCAGGACTTTGGACGGGAATTGCAGGTTCAAAATGAGACAGTAACTTGCAGCGATGGTAGGGTTGCAACATGAATATGGCAGGTTTATAGGAAAAGGGACAGCACCTGCAGGAGAGCCATTAACAAATGCAGCAAATAAAGATATTCAGTGGTCAGACATTTCATGGGAATAGCGCCATTGGAGCAGGAAGTGACAGTCTTGGACAAGGTGAGCTCTAACATGGCATGATAGGAAATGGCGGGAGAGCGAAGACGAGTACATGTCCAGGGTTTAGACATAGAAAAACTTTTGAGGCAGTTTGTCCCAGTGAGCAAATGGGAGAGCAGGAAACAGGACAGGGAGCTGATCACATTGTCTCAATCTTCGTGACAAAGAAGCTCCATGTATTCCTTGTACTTATTGTTGGAAGTGAGAATGGAGGAAGCAGGAGAGAGGGAGAACCCTTCAAAAATAACAATGTTGTGTTTGATACGAAAAAGACTCACCACACTGTGTAATTGATACATATCTGATTTATTTGACACCCAGAGCACTAGCACCTTTAACTTGGTTGGATTTTATTAATATCAACAGAAACAGAGCCTGATATACATGGATGAGTTCTGGATGCAATTAACAGGAAAATCCCAACACCAGAACTACTTGTGACATCGCTGGTGTCTCACCAGATGGGATGAATGAGCAAATTTCTTCTCACACTTGCAGCAGGCATATGGTTTCTCCCCAGTATGAACTTGCTGGTGTGACCGAAGACGAGATGATTGAGTGAACTTCTTCTGACACATGAAGCAGATGAATGGCTTCTGTCCAGTGTGAGTGCATTGATGTAGAGTAAGTTCAGCTGAATGCTTGAATACAGTCTCACAGTGAGAGCGCTTGAATGGTCTCTCATCAGTGTGTGCACGTCACTGGCGTTTCAGTTCCCTGGAACTTTTATAGCACTTCCCACAGTCTGCACATTTAAAAGGTCTCTCAATACTATGAACCTGCTTGTGTCTCAGCAGGTTGGACACATTAGTAAAGCCCTTCTCACAAACAGAGCAAGTGAACGGCCTCTCCCTAGTGTGAACTCGCTGGTGTTGCAGCAAGTATGCTGACAATGGGAGACCCTTCTCACACACGGAACACAGGAACAGTCTCTCCCCAGTGTGATGGTGCTGAAGAATTTCCAGCTCACAGGGAAAATCAAATGCCTTTCCACAGACCCCACATTTACACAGCTTCTCCCTAACATGACTGCGCTTGTGTTTAGACAGGCCAGATGATTGGCTGAAGCCTCGACCACACAGAGAACAGGTGTACAGTTTATCCCCACTCAGATGTGTTTTCTTCTTCCATAGTTAAAATCCAATGATATTCTAGTTACAATGAATTGAGTAATTTGTCAAATCTTGATGAGATGTTTGATTCAATTTTCCTGGCTGCAAATCCTCACCCTTGAATACACTGTGAATGAGTGAGTGAGAACCCACAAAAATATAAAGGTAGTATGTGAAATCGAGCTGAATGAAATTGGTGATCTGTGGGGAATAATGATTCCTGCACCTAACCTGCCAAGACATGTATAGCTTTGTTATACATTGGATACAAAACTGGCTGTCCAATAGAAGACAGAGGGTGGTAGTAGATGGAAAGTCTTCAGCCTGGAGCTCAGTGACCAGTGGTGTTCCGCAGGGATCTGTTATGGGACCTCTGCTCTTTGTGATCTTTATAAATGACTTGGATGAGGAAGTGGAAGGGTGGGTTATTACGTTTGTCAATGACACGAAGGTTGGAGGAGTTGTGGACAGCATGGAGAGATGTTGTAGGTTGCAGTGGGACATTGACAGGATGCAGAGCATAGAAAAGAAGTGGCAGATGGAATTCAACCCAGAAAAGTGTGTAGTGATTAATTTTGGAAGGTTGAATTTGCATGCAGAATACAGGGTTAGTGGCAGGATTCTTGGCAGTGTGGAGGAGCAAAGGGATCTTGGATTCCACATCCACAGATCCCTCAAAGTTGTGACCCAAGTTGATAGGTTTGTAAAGAAGGCGTATGGTGTCTTGGCTTTCATTGTCAGGGGAATTGAGTTTAAGAACCGTGAGGTTTTGCTGCAGCTCTATAAAACTCTGGTTAGACCACACTTGGAATATTGTGTTCAGTTCTGGTCACCTCATTACAGGAAAGATGTGGAAGCTTCAGACAGGGTGCACATGAGATTTACCAGGATGTTGCCTGGACTGGAGGACAGGTCTTATGAGGAAAGGTTGAGGGAGCTAGGGATTTTTTCATTCGAACAAAGAAAGATGAGAGGTGTTTAATAGAGGTTTACAAGATGATGAGAGGCATAGATAGAGTGGATAGTCAGAGACTTTTTCCCAGAGCGGAAATGACTATTACGAGGGGACATAATTTTAAGGTGATTGGAGGAAGGTATAGGGGAGATGTCAGAGGTAGGTTCTTCACAGAGAGTGGTGGGCGTGTAGAATGCGCTGCCGGCAGTGGCAGTGGATTCAGATACTTTAGAGACTTTTAAATGACTCTTGGATAGGCACATGGAGGATAGTAAAATGTAGGGTATGAGGGTAGATTGACTTTAGTGGGATAATAAGTTAGCACAACATCTTGGGCCGAAGGGCCTGTACTGTGCTGTACTGTTCTGTGTTCTATGTTCTCCCAGCAACCTCACGAGTCTTTCCATGTCTAGTATCCAGCGGCAATTACTCATCCAAATTCCATATTAAACATTCCAGTTGGTTAAACTGAATTATAACCCGAAAACTTGCTGACGAAAAAAATGAAAGCCTTGTTATAAACCAATCCAACAGCACTTCTTCGCCCCGGAATGTAAGTGTAAATTGTTACTTCTCCAGATTAAAAGGAATTAACCAAAATCCGTCAGATGTGTTAATTGGATAGATATAGAAACTATTTCCTCTCGTTGGGGATTTGAGAACAAAAGGACATTATTTAGAGATGACGTGAAATCTTCATACAAACAATTCTTCATACAAAGGATGGCAAAAATTGGGAATGAAAACAGAACATGTTGGAAAAAATCTCAGTTATGACAACATACGTGCAGAAAGAAATAGAGTTAATGTTTCAGGTCTGTGAATTTTCATCAGGACTGGGAAACATAAGAAATGCAATACGTTTTGAGTAAGGGGTTTGGGTTAGACTGTTGCAAAAAGATGGTCCGTGACAAGGGAGAAGACAGGAAATATTAAATGACAGAACTGTTCTTCCCTCGAGGCCACAGACAATGGAGCTGGGGCTGGAAAAGAAACAAAGTAACAAAAGATGTGCCTGGAGCAAGTGTGCAGCTCACAAACAAACTGAAACGAGAGAAATGAACACAAAATAGGGGGCAGAATTCACAGTCTGAAAATGTTGGTGTCAATGGTGGGTCCAGAAAGCTTTAAACTGCTGAACTGAAAGATGAGGTGCTTTCTTGAAACTTATATTTAGCATCACTGGAAGAGTGCAGTGAGCCGAGTAAGGAAATATCAGTGTGAGTGCAAAATGGAGAATTAGAAATGTAAAATCCCCGGCGACAGCAGCTTGTGGATACTGAGAGCCAATTGAACATTTTAAAATTGAGATGTTAGATTCTTGTTAAGAGCTTAACAAAGATAAAGGTGTATGAAATAAGGGTCAATCCTGATTGAATTGAATGTTTGAGGAGGCTTAAGGGACTTAATGGCCTCCTTCTGTTCCAAACGTTCTTCTGACACATTCAGAAAGTCCTCGGGGTATTGGAAAAGTACTCACAAAGAATTCAAAGTGTACGCAAGACAACAAGGTGCAGGGCTGGATGAACACAGCAGGCCAAGCAGCATCATAGGAGCAGAGAGGCTCTGATGAAGGGTCTAGGCCCGAAACGTCAGCCTCTCTGCTGCTATGATGCTGCTTGGCCTGCTGTGTTCATCCAGCCCTGCACCTTGTTGTCTCGGATTCTCCAGCATCTGCAGTTCCCACTATCTCTGATTCAAAGTGTACGCAATATCTTTTTTTCCTTTATTCATTCACAGGATGTGGGTGTAGCTCTTAGGCAGCATTTATTGCCCATCCTAGTTGCCTAGAGGGCAGTTGAGAGTTAACCACATTGCTGTGGTCTGGAGTCACATGTCGGCCAGGCCAGGTAAGGATGGCAGTTTGCTTC